CCCCATCACCCACAACCAACACCTCATTCACAACCTTTACAACGATGGAAACATCTTCATCCACTGTAGCAACTAAAGGCACAGGTCAGACTACATTGACCAGTTCAGCAGCCACATCCCCTGAGACCACCACACTGACTCCTACCACAGGATCTTTCAAAACAGCAGTGAGTTCTACTCTCCTCAAGACTTCTTCAATCACCTCCACATCAGTGACTTCTATGACAACTATCCCCTCAAACGGTACTCCTAGCTTCACTACCTCAATCAACACGACCAAGACCACCTCACACAGTACTCGCAGCTTCACTTCTTCAATTACCACCAGCAAGATCCCCTCACACAGTACTTCAATCGCCACCATCGAGACCAGCTCACACAGTACACCCAGTTATGCTTCTTCCATCAGCATCACCGAGACCCCCTCACACAGTACTTCCAGCTTCACTTCTTCCATAACCACCTCTGAGACCCACTCACACGGTACTCCCAACTTCACTTCTTCGACCACCACCACCGAGACCACATCCCACAATACTCCCAGCTTCACTTCCTCAATCACCACCACCGAGACCACTGAGACCCACTCACACGGTACTCCCAACTTCACTTCTTCGACCACCACCACCGAGACCACATCCCACAATACTCTCAGCTTCACTTCCTCAAACATCACCACCGAGACCACCCCACACAGTACTCCCAGCTTCACTTCTTCAATCACCACCACAGAGACCACATCCCGCAGCGCTCCCAGTTTCACTTCTTCAATCACCACCACTGAGACCCCCTCACATAGTACTCCCAGCTTCACTTCTTTGATCACCACCAGTGAGACCACCTCATCCAGTACTCCCAGCTTCACTTCTTCAATCATCACCATCGAGACCAGCTCACACAGTACACCCACTTATGCTTCTTCCATCAGCATCACCGAGACCCCCTCACACAGTACTTCCAGCTTCACTTCTTCCATAACCACCTGAGACCCACTCACACGGTACTCCCAACTTCACTTCTTCGACCACCACCACCGAGACCACATCCCACAATACTCTCAGCTTCACTTCCTCAAACACCGAGACCCCCTCACACAGTGCTTCCAGCTTCGCTTCTTCCATAACCACCTCTGAGACCCACTCACACGGTACTCCCAACTTCACTTCTTCGACCACCACCACCGAGACCACATCCCACAATACTCTCAGCTTCACTTCCTCAATCACCACCACGGAGACCACCCCACACAGTACTCCTAGCTTCACTTCTTCAACCACCACAACCGAGATCACCTCCCACAGCAGTCCCTGCTTTATTCTTCGATCACCATCACTGAGACCACATCCCACAACACTCCAAACTTCACTTCTTTGATCACCACCACCGAGACCACATCCGGCAGTACTCCCAGTTTCACTTCTTGAATCACAACCACTGAGACCCCCTCACATAGTATTCCCAGATTCACTTCTTTGATCACTACCACTGATACCACTTCACCCAGTACTCCCTGCTTCACTTCTTCAATCACCACCATCGAGACCAGCTCCCACAGTACACCCAGCTACACTTCTTCGATCAGAACCACCGAGACCACCTCACACAGT